CAGCGGCGGCCGCCGCCGCCGCGGCCTCAGCCGACGAAGTGGACATCGCCATCCGAGAAGTCTGGAACCACAACCTACAGGTGCGCTCCTTCTTTACACTAATCTGTCTGTCCACACGACAGCTCCTGGCGGAGTCGAGATCTACCTGCGGAATCCCGACCTCACAACCATGGGTTAAATGATAGTGTGGTTAGCACATAGCCACTTCTGCGTCGTATTCTGGTCGTCTCAACCTGAGAAGTGAGCTTTCTCGTCGTCGCACAGAAACAGATACAAAGTTATACTAGTAGTACATGGATATTACAAATGAATAATACGATTTTAAAAATTTTCATTTTAGAAACTACGACGTAATATAATGATGAATCACTCCACTTTTTTTTTTCATTTTGTCATAAATGTTCTCTGTATAATGCACATCATAAATGTTCGTTACATGAAAGAAATCTTTGCGATATTTTAATTCCGTCAAAACACACTGCAGCATTTCTTCAGTAACGGTCATTATAGCATCAACAATGCAATTATTCAGTGTCGCTTTTGATGTTGGTAATGGAGGCACATTAACATTGGCTTTGATTTGCCCCAAAGGAGAAAATCAGGAACTGCAAGGTCGGGAGATCTAGGCAGGCATGCGAACAGCATCAAAACACCGTCAGCACATCGCTCAATTCATAGATGTGGAAGTTCCCATTAAGGATCTGTATGCCAGCGCAAAAGAGCTCTCTCTTCTTCGTAAATGAAATTTTTTGAATCGCCTTTGTTGTGGCAATATCCACAAATGTCATAATCCAAATCACAATACGTTTTCTGCTGCATACTCGCTATATTAGAAACTGGAGTGGTGCTGTTGTCTGGTGAACCACAATGAAGCCAGCATGATAAGGCGAAAACGTGAAGAATTTTCAGTTCTATTGATTTGTCATTTATTTATCATTCTATCTATTTATCATGTGCAATAGTTCAATAGTTTCTATTGTACGTGATAAATATATTCTCTCTCTTTCTATATATATATATATATATA